GCTGAAACAAATGCTTCTCAGGTGGAATACATTATTTCTAAAGCCGGTCTCGTTTATCCAGTAACTTCAACCTAGCTCTTCAATTCTGGGCTTAGTTGTGGATGACCAGTTCAGCTATTTTATCATTACATCCTTAACCTAAGCATTTAGCCCTAATCCTCAGCAAAGCCGAAAAAAGATACTCCGTGTTTCTTTGACAATCCACTGACAAAGTCCAATGAAGCCCAGGTATTTCTTGGAATATTTGTATCAACACGTAATAGCTGTGATGCCTCACAATGTAAACATTTCTATGTCAGGACTTTGCCCTGCAACTGTCTAGTCTGTCTTAACCACTGTAGGAAATTGTGGTTGGAGTGAAGAGAAATCAGGTGTGGGGGATAGCGGGCGGAGAAGAAAGTGATGTGTGTTAGATGGCATCCTTTTCCTTTTCCTCTATCAGCCTACTAATAAAGCCAAAGATCATTGATTTCTAGTACCTGAACAAAACTCTAGCATAGCATCCGTCACAATGCATATATTTGTTTAAAGGTCATCCCCCACATCAGGCTGAGAGTTGACTTCTCATATTCATCTTTGTCAAATTTTGTATTTCCTGCACCTAGCACAGTTCCCGGAGCCCGTTTGTGGAAAGAGGGAAGAATGGATTTGCTTCATACAGAAGAATGCTTTTTCATCTGCTCTGGGTTATGGATTGTTTTTGTTTTTGTTTTCAGAAATCTTATGAAAGTTAAAGACTTCCACCCTTCGGAAAAAGGTGCACGTAGGTATGAGCTTGCAAAAATGTGTATCCAAGTTTAAGGAGATCACAGATGCCTTGAAACAAACCCATAGACTTTAGGTTAAAACTCCCTGAATTAAGAGAGAGGGTAACAGGAAATGGTAAAATGATTTTTAATTCACACTCTTGGTCTAACTAGTATCACAGCTGAGGTGGGGCTACTAATCATATTATGATTGGATGTGGAAAGAACATCTTAGCAAACGTGGTAGTGTCCAAGCCAGTGTGAATAAGGACTTGTTTGTGTGAATAAGGACAGTTTGCATAAGTCCAACCATGCCTACTGTTGGGATGACCTAGAGGCATCCTCCTTCCTTTCTTGGTAAACCTCAGGGGTTTCTATTTTCCCATTAAAATTTCTCCTCCCTAATCCACCCTTTGAATTTCTCTGGCATTTACCTCCCTTCGCCATTGTTCACCAGGTTCTTCCAATTCAAGCTGATTGCTCTGTATCTCAGGACTTGCAATTATTCTAGATCTTGAGAAACTGAACTGGTCTCTGTGGGATTTCAGATGAAAACTCTGACTCAGACCCAGTCATAAAGTACAGAAGTACTTCATCAAAGTGAATTAGATGCCTGATTATCAGATTTAGGCAGTGAAAGATACAAGGAGTGAGAATGTTCTAAATCCAAAGGCAAAACTATCAAAACTAATTTTGCCTTCAGAAATATTTGCTAGAACATGATCTAAGGTGAAAACTGACACACAATCACAGTCAAATAAGACTTTGTTTACAATTTTAGCACAAATGCAGTCATTGCTATTTCCCACCACTATCAATTCTCCATTATTATTATTAAGGAGTGCTCCCAAGGTGAAGCGAAGATAATTTTCGGTCTAAACTTTTTTTGTCCGTGACTTGAATTGCTCTGGAAATTTTCCTTTCAGATCTCGTGTTTGTTTAGCACGTTCTTTACAATATGCATGTGACTAAAATTATTTTAACAGCCTTAATTGTATTACAATGACAAAGATTCTGTAGATCTTGTGACAACACATTCTTCTGTAGGAGTTGATTTAATTCCTTTTCAGTGGTTGATATTTGAACCTCTTTCATTTAGAGGAGATCCAGCAACACAATTCACTAAGCACCTAAACAGGTCCAGGAGGGGTTAAAGAACACACCACCAATATAAACTGCCACTCTCTTGCGTAATCTATACAACCTTGTAGTTGAATCTGGGTTCTTGTGAAATTTTAATCAAGTAACTTGGGAATGCGATATGATGATTGGGGAGCAATATAAAGGAAATCTACAAACTACTAAATCTGCTTTATGTTTTGTTCCATAATCCTATTGTAGTTTTCAATGAGAGGAAATTTCCAAATTTGACACGCTTAAAGTTTTACTTTTTATTGTGCACAAAGTTTTATGAAGGTGTATATTTGGGTGATGGGTGGTTTTAAAATATAACATGAGAATATTTCCAAGATCAAATAAAAGGGGAAACAACTGAGACATTAATGACTACAGAGGGAAATATCCTTGGATCTGGGGGTAGCATGTATTTACTAAAGACACAATGACCAGGTAGTTATTTTTGGTAACTCTCAACATTATGCGGGTCATATCATATTTTGTGATCAGAGCAGAGCAAACATGTTTACTAATGAGTTTGTGTTTTTAGTCACTGAAATTTTAAGGATAACATAAAATCTAGGTCTCAATGCTAAAGCATGGCCATGAAAACTATCCATCTAAACAGTTTTTCAAAAAATGTATCTCTGTAAAAGGACATGGGAGGGACACAGAATTTTCAAATATCCATTGTGATAGAATCACTGCTTGATGCAGGGCCTGATGAGGTAGGGCCTGCGCCTAAAGAATCCATCTAGGAGAATTCACAGTCTAAGTCAAGTCACACTTGGGGGGCCATCTCATTACTTTGTTGTATCAAATCAGGGGAAGTCTGATTAACATGGACAACAAAGCGCTCATACTGGAGGGACAAAAAGGTACAAAGGGGCAGAGAAGTACTGAGGGAAAGGGGAAGGAAGAGGCCTTGCCAATTCTTGTTAATTGGGGTCAGAATAGTACTGGGAATTTCCTATACCCTAAGTTTGTTGAATGATTACATAGGTCTAGGGAAAGGGGGTATGCTCAGACTGATATACCCAACTTTTTAGTATTGGGGTTCTACCTAGTAAGTTGCAATTTCCTCTTCTCACATTTTGTATTGACTAATGGGAGGGGGGAGGTCTCCAACAGGTGTTTGCTCCAATTCAAAAGCTTTGGCCTGTTGGGCAATTTGGGTTTGAATCTTCCTCTCTCAAATGAGTGGGGCTCTTACCAGTTATGAGGGACTTCCCTTGGGACTTGTTGCAACAGCATACAGTGGCAATGGAGATTTGAGGGTAGTTTCCGGTTCTGCTTTGCCATCTTGGGGTGGCTCTGAAAAGCTTTCTTACCTCTGACAGGAAGAAAATGTTCACAGGGTTGATTCATTACTACACAGAATGCAGTGAAGATAGTTGGGCAACCTGAGTCAGATGTTCAGATGGAAAGATAGGGAGACTCTGATGACACAAGTTTAAATTCTAGGTCTGCAGGTAAAGCTTTGCAAAGAGCCCCACCCCAGAGACACCTGCACTGGGGCCTCCTTTGCTGTTTCTTCCCCATCTCCAGGACTCTAAGTCTAGATGAATTGCACACATTCCTGGGGGAAAGGCTGTATTATATCACTTATATCTATCTATATACATAACTACATATGTATGTATAGATAGGTATGTGTATATATACACAACAGACTAATTGGTATGATTTGTAACCATCTTTGTAGATAAAATAACAAAAACAAAACCTAACCTAATAGCTTAAAAACGTTGCCCAGTGATTGCTGGCATCAATATCCCACAAGAGATTAAAATTATTCCCCAAGTTGCATCCCCTGCACTCCAATTGATATTTTAATAACTTGATTAAAAATTTCTCAGAAGTCTATTAGAGTCAGGAAACGGTCTGCGGTGTAGGTGAGGATTTTCAGTTTTTGCAACGGAAACTTTTGGCCCCATGAACAGAATAGCAAAAACTCAATTAAATGTGTTTTTCCTCCATCCTTGCCTAATCCAAAAGTAAAAAATGAAAAATGGTTTGGAAGAGTGGTGTTTAGGTTTGCTTTTCTTCGTTTTTTCCTGTAGAACGGCCAGGTGGATTCATATGATCCAATTTTTAAATAGTCTTTTATCTCCCATTCCGAATAAATCCGGCCACCCAGCACAATCAGAAAGTTGTTTTTTGTTTTGTTTTGAATTTTCAGCCTCTAAAGGATGGGGGAAGGGAAACAAAAGAGGGGGAGGGCAAAGGACGGAGAAGTACTTTAATTAAAAACAACCAATAACTCGAGTTTTTTAGATAAGGTTTTTCATTTCCTAATTAAGAAATGAGTTTAATAGTCCTTTGGCCAACACAAGTTAGACACTCCTATGAAAACCCTAAAGGGCTGGTGGCTGTCCCAGGGACTAAACTCCGTTCCCCTGCGAGACCCCAAGCCAGCCCGCGCGCCCCTGGCCGACCCTGCCCAGCTCTGACTGGGGTCCTTCCCACTCGTCCAGCAGGCACCTCGGCTCCCCCAAGTCTGTCTTCTCTTGCCCTCAGTTCCGAGCTGGACCGGCCGCCTCGGGCTCGCCGCCACCAGGTCGGCGCAAATACCTTTTCCCTCCCCGGGGCCCCAGGCGCGGACACCTCCCTGCCTCCCTCCCTGCTGGCGGGGCCCTTTCCCGGCTGGGGAACAGCAGCCCCGGCCGCGGCGGCAGGAAGCGAAGCCCTTGTTGATGCTGTTCCATGGCGCGCCCCCTCGCCCTCCGGTGGCCGCCCCGGCTCTTCCCGGCTCCTGGGCGCCCCCCTCCGCGCCTGCGCAGTGCCCCGCGGGGGGCGGGGCTCAGATTCCTGTCAGCGGCGGCGGCGGTGGCGGCGACCGTCAGTTTTCGCTGAGGAGAAGCACGAAACGGACCCGTTGGCTCTCCCCCCTCCCTTTCCCCGCCCTGAACCCCCCTCCTGGCTCGCCGGGAATTAGTCCCCGTGGAGTTTCGCCTCCACCTCGCTGCGGTTTCCTCGGCCCGGTGGAAGTCACTGCCCTCGAGGAGGAGGCAGCAGCGGCAGCCGCCCTCGCCTCACCGCCCCCGGTTCGGTGCCCGCGGTCCCGGAGAGGAGGTGCCGCCGCCACCGCCGCTCCCCCCCTCCCGCTGCCCTCGGGCCGGGCTGGGTCGAGCTGCGATGCCCTCGGACTTCATCTCATTGCTCAGCGCGGACCTAGACCTGGAATCGCCCAAGTCCCTGTACTCGCGAGGTGAGTCAGGCTGGGGGCTGGGGCGTGGGGGCGGGGAGGCCCGGCCCCGGGGAGCCGGAGGGGTCCCCGTCGGGGGGTAGGGGCAAGCCCGGGCCGGTCGGGCCTGTTTTGGGGGATGGGGAGAGGCCGATGGGGTCGGGTGGTGGTGGAAGGGGCCGGGGAGGAGTGGCGGCCCCTCCCCCGCGGAGCCGCCGGCCACACGGGGCCCAATTGCCGTCGGCCCCGGGTCTCTGCGGCACCAGTCGCACTGAGAGTCCCTCGGCGTGTCCGGCCCCGCCACACTCCTAGAGCAGCCGGCCCCGGCCTCCCAGCTCAGGGATCTTCCCCCCCCCCCCCCCCCCCCCCTGCCCACGTCCTCCCCGACTGGGCCCCACCCGCTGGGGCACTGGCTCTGCGTCAGTGGGTTGCCAGGATTGCGGCTGCCTTACCAGGACCATCCTCCCCAGCAAAGTTGCCCCCAAGCGGGCGGCGTGGCTTGGAGCCGGTTCTGGGTGCAGGGGCACCATTTTTCTCCCCCTCCAGGTTGTTTGTGCGCCGTCGTTCTACCCCCCTCTCCCTCCGGCCTAGTCCACTCCCTCCCCTTGTTGGGACGGCCCCCCTCGACCAGGCGTTCTTCCTTTCCTCGTCATCTTATTGCTGGAAAGGGCCCGAATTTTCTGTTTTCCTCTCTTGCCACCTATGTGGCATTCTAACGACTTGCATCTCCCTCTCTTTTACAAAGGCAGGGGTGGTCTCTCTCTGGCTCAGTTTTATCCCTCTCCTGTCCCGGGGGTACCAGCTCAGGCACTGACGCTGTCGTCCTTTGAGAATTTTCTCTTTCGCGGCCGTTCAAGGGTTCGTGGCAGGGAGGGGGCAACGAGATTCCCGTTTTAAAAACTCTTTTGGCCAAGGCCTGAAGGGGATTCCCGGGATCCACGGTACCAGCACTTGAGCTGATCTGCGCTGGGTTTAAATTCCTATACTGGGCACCACAAGAATGTGTTAGAACAGGTTTCCCGTGCGAAAGGGGCATCAAACCGAAATGCTCCCTCCGCACTCCTCACCACTTTTTACACCACTGGGAGGGGCCAAAGACATAACTGGGTTATTAGCTCTTGATTTCACCATATTAAAAAAAAAAAAAAATTGAGTGCCATTGCGAACCTCCTTCCCGAGACGGCCAGCGTTCCTTCATTTTTTTGCTGTTCCGTATCCATCCGCTGATTCCACCCCCTCCAGAAAGGGGGACTTCAGCCTTCACGCGAGTACCTTGAAATTGTTTAAGGGAATCGGTGTGCGATGGTTTCGTCTGGAAGGTCCTGGACTTCGCACACCGACGACTGGGTTTGTGCACAGAGCCCTCCTTAGTAACTGTGGCCATTGTCTGTTGCTCTGATGACTTTAGTTGGCAGTCACCATCCTGTAGGATGTTTCTCCGGCAACGTACCTGAAGTAGTTTGGAAATACTGTAGTTTTGAGCGTCAGAAGAAAAAGATGATGTCAAGAGGTGATTCTTAGAAGAGGGCTAATGTGGTACCATCGGTGCTAAAAATAGCCAAGACATTAACACCGTTTGTGCAGTAATCATCAGATAATTTTCCATGAAACAAACACTTTATGACCATCTAAGTTTAGCACAGAGACCGATGTGAGAGGCAGTTCAGCCTTCTTTGACAGCATATTCGCGAATATGGGCTTTAGCTCTTAAAAATACGTGGCAGTTATGTAAGAGATGTATGCTACCCTTGCCCTTTTTTTTTCCTTTTTTTTTTTTTTAAGTCATTCAGCATAAAAAGTGCTTAATGCTTTTTGTGTTTTTCAGATTCTCTGAAGTTACACCCATCACAGAATTTTCATAGAGCTGGACTATTGGAAGGTCAGCAAAGTGCCATTTTAAAAGCATATTGTGTGAGTATGCAAAGGCTTTCTCTGAAATGGAGTTTAAATGAGAAAGTGTGAAACTTTGCAAACTCACACAATGTAGTTTTCTCTTAAAGAGCCTGATCCTTCTTTTAGAGCAGCTGAATGTTTCAGTGGATTTTGTTGCTGTGTTTGATGTGCTTGTTAGCTTATTGTATCTGCTTTGAGAAGCCTTGAAAAAACTCCCACAAAATCGTTAAAAATTATGTGTTGGGTGTTCTACTTTAGAATTCCAGGTCTTAATTCTAGCTTTTTAGAAACAAACTGAATATGAAAAGGCTCAAACATTAAGATCATGAATATAACTAAGAATAACACCAAACACATATTTAGTTTGAAAATTCAGAATTTAGAACTTTTATATGCTGAGCATTTCAAAACGGTATGTTAATTATTTATTACAAAAGCATTGATGTCATTACTGTTGTATTACTTTTAAGGATAAGGAAAGCCAAGTGACAGACATGATGAATGAACTACGCTTAGAAAAAAAGGGTTTGAGAAAGTTCTGGAAATGTTAATAGAAGGTGTAGAATTTAAACAGCTGACAATTACTTTAGAAAACTTTGTTATTTTAGCATTTTAAGACAAAAAAAGACTCTTTGTATTTTGTATTTTTTTTTAATATATTTTTTAAAGTTTATTTTTTTTAGTAATCTCTACACTCAGTGTGGGGCTCAAATTCATGACCCCCTAGATCAAGAGTTACATGCTCTTCGGACTGAGCCAGCCGGGCACCCCAGTGTTTTGTAGTTTTTGAAGGGGCTTTACATATATACTCTTTGAATTTTCTAATCCTGCAATTGGACAGCAAGGATATTAATTTCCCCATTGTAGAGATGAGTAACCTGAGGTTGAAATGAAGAGACTTGGGGGGGGGGGGGAGTCACATGATAGCAGAAACAATGCCTTTTGTGTTTTAGCTAGAGTTCTTTACCCAAAGCCAAGCTGCCACTGTAAAATATATTTGTGACCAGTAACTTAAACATTTTGTGGTCAACTTAAAAAATGCCCTAAATATTTAAGTTCGATTTGAGTTGAGATGTTTGAGATGTTTACTTCTCATAGCGGGGTGGGGGGAATGGGTTTTGTAATTGAGCTTAAGTTTGAATACATAACAGTTTAGTTGCTTATTAGCTCTGTGACCTTGGGCAGGTGATTCCACCTCTCTAAACTTTACTATTCTTTCTATAAAAATAGATACAATCTCTTAAATTTAGTGACGTAAGGTGTATGAAAATGCCTAGTTTAGTGTCTGGCTTAATAAATTTTTTGTTGTTGGTTTTTTTTTTGTTGTTTTTTTTGTTGTTTAGTATTAGCTAAATTGTTTCAACTATAATTTAGAGCATATAAAATATTCTCTAATTATTGATTATATTTATACTTATCAGAAACCCATTGATATATATTAGTATAAAGATCAACTACAACTTGAGGTGAGGAATTTTATAAGTGTTTCTTAGTGAAGCAGATTTCTGTTTTTTATTCATATTGTTCAGTTTGTGCCATGCTGTAGATTCATATTTGTCTATACAAATGTATCCATTTTCTGGGCAGCAGACCAGAGAGTATCATAATCATAGAGATTATTGGGCAGGAGAGAGATATGAAAAAAAAAAGGGTGTTAATTATTTCAGCAAATGATTTTAACAAGTTGATGGAACTGCAGCCAGTCATTTAATATGTATATTTACATGTATGTGCTTAAATATTTTCATTAATTTCTTATTTTGGTTGAGAGGATACTCAATTTTTTAAAAATAAGGCCATCCTTTTACAGATTATATATACATTGTAAAATGTATAAATATCAAGTATCCTTTTATGTCTTTGATACAGGGAATCCTAAGAAAGTTGTTTGGTTGTGGAATGAAAGTGAAGTATTTAATCTCTGTACCCTACTTCTCTTTTAACCATTTATTATGGCATTTTAAGGAACATACAAAAGTAAAGAGAATAAAATGATGGACCCCCAAATACCTATTACTAAGTTTTAACAATCATCAATACATGTCTAGTCTTATTTCTTTTATCTTCTCCCAAACTATTATTTTATTTTATTTTTAAAGTTTATTCATTTATTTTGAGAAAGAGAGTGTGCACGGATGGGAGAGGGGCAGAGAGAGAGAGGGAGAGAGAGAGAATCCTAAGCAGGCTCCACACTGGCAGTGCAGAGCCCAACAATGCGAGCCTTGAACTCACAAACCATGAGATCATGACCTGAGCCGAAACCAAGAGTCAGATGCTTAACCAACTGAGCCACCCATTTGCCCCAAGCTATATTATTTTAAAACAAATATCAGACATCTATTATTTCATGTATAAATACTTCTGTATTGTAGTGATATTTCTTATATTAATTTTTAAAATACCCTACTTTATTCCAGGAAATACTTATTTTGATTTATTTCAGCAAAGTCTGTCCTCTCTCCTGCCCTTTCCTTAAGATAAAGTATGATTGGAGGCTACTGCTTCTAGTATGTAGTGTACCTTGCAATCTGTGTTAAAATTGTAAGTCATGCATCAGATTTGGGTTCAAATCCTTATTTCAATACTTATGCATGACCTCAGCTTAGTTATTTAATCTCATTGTGCTTTAATTTTCTCATCTTCAGATGGAGGCAATCATAGTGTCTTCATTGTGGGTTACTGAAGATTATTTAAGGCAAATTCACGTGTAAAGCATTTAACCTAGCACATAGTAAATGCACAATAAATGTTAGCTAAATTAAAAATTTAGTACGACATCCACTTATATGGCTTTTACTGTGTGCCAAGAACTTTATAAGTGTGAACTCACTGAACTCTCCTAACAACCCTTTGAGATGGTTGTTATTCCATTTTATAGATGAGGGAGCTAAAGTGTAGGGAGGTTTAGTAACTTACCCAGAGTCACACAGCTGGTACATTGTAGCCAAGATTCCAACACAGGTATTGTCACTATAGTCTGTGCTCTTAACTACTATACTGTACTGACTCCCTATGTTATATAATATGAAGTACTTTCTGGTATTATGTGTGTATACTTTCTATCAGTGGTCTAGATATCCATTTAATAGTGAAGTCAAGGGCACCTGGGTGGCTCAGTCGGTTGGGCGTCCGACTTCAGCTCAGGTCACGATCTCACGGTCCGTGGGTTCGAGCCCCGCGTCGGGCTCTGGGCTGATGATGGCCCAGAGCCTGGAGCCTGCTTCCGATTCTGTGTCTCCTTCTCTCTCTGACCCTCCCCCGTTCATGCTCTGTCTCTGTCTCAAAAATAAATAAACGTTAAAAAAAAAAAAAAATAGTGAAGTCAGCCCAGAGTGAGGAGAATTTAATTACTATCATACATTTGTTAAATTTTTTATAGAACATGTTTTTTCCAAATTTAAGTTCTCTCTTTAGGAAAACAAGGTTGGAAAATTTATAGCTGAATATTACTGAACTTGAAAAATAGCTTCAAAATCTCTTTACCATTTTAATTAAGTTTGCTTTTATCCTACATATTGATGCTGGTCCTTCTTGCTACTATACGTATTTTTTTTTAAAGAATAGGGAATTAGTTTTTTTTTAAATTGAGATATAGTTGACATAAAACACCATATTAATTTCAGTTTCACAAGGTAATGATTTATTATTTGTATATATTGGGAAGTGACCACCACAATAAGTCTAGTTAACATTGGTCACCATATTTAGTTCTCCTACTACCTTTTTACTCAATGTGATGGCCTGACAATGAGAAAAGAGTGTAGGTATCTAATTGAATAATACATAGCCATAAATAATGTTTCTGATGACCCCATAATTACATGAGAAACTCTTAATAAAATAAGTAAATAAAAGAAATATTGTTGCAATTATATTAAAAATAACTCCCATAGAAACTCCTTTACAGGGCCACATGGGTTGCTCAGTGGGTTAAGCGTTTGACTCTTGATTTCGGCTCAGATCATGATCTCACCATCCTGAGATCATGTCCCAGGTCTGGCTCTGCGCTGACATCACGGAGCCTGCTTGGGATTTTCTGTCTCACAATAAATAAATAAACTTAAAAAAAAGTCCTGTGCAAAAGTATGTACTGTAATATTTTACTTTTTAATTATATTTTTGCATTTTCTCTGCCTTCTCTAAGGAAGATAGTTTATATATATTGAAAAAATAAAATGGTTTACAAATATGAAGGCTAGGAGTCTTCTTGAATACCTAGAGAAAAGATTCACTACAGAGAAAAAGTTTTCATTTCTTATACTTTTCTGTATTGAAAAATACTGATTTGGGCATATATTGTTTGCTATAGAAAAAATTGAGATAAAAATTAAACTAAATGAAAGTAAATGAATATGATTAAGAGGTCATTCTGGAAATACAGAGATGTAAGATAAGATAGTATAAAATCAGATAAAATAGGAAAAATAATAGAAGTGAGTTGGAAAAAATAGAGTAATAAAAACAATGGATTAAAATTTTAAAATGTGTTTACAAGCAGGAGTTACAAGATTACATGATGGATAAAATTAAGTAACTGGTTAAATAAGAGCTAAATACCAATGTGAGGTGATCGTAGTATGAATTTAATATTTGAAACTGGAAGATTTTTATTTTTTATATTTATTTTAACAATGAGGGACAATAAACTATTTTTTCTTAACCGCTGTCAAATTATTTGATATAGTACCAGGCATAATTATACTTTATAGTTCACAAAATGAAAATCCTAAAAATAGTAGCAGTGTTTTGCTGACTTTATGGAATATTTCTGAATTGCCATTGAGCCCAATTTATTTCTCTTCCTAGAGCTGATAGTTCATAAGATAGTTAAGCTATTACTTCTTAAATGATGAAATGTATGAAGGTATCTTATTAGAAATGATAATCTTCATTAGAAATGAAGAGATCCTACTAGAAATTAGAAAAAAATTAGATTTTTTGGAAAATATTTAAAATTAAAAATAACCTATTGGATTCTTTTCTTGT